GTCCACCGCTTCATTGAGTTGGCACGGGGCGGACAGATACAACTGTGTATCGTCCGCATATTGGTGGTATTTTATCCCCAATAGATCTTGAGAAGCAGAGCAAAATGGCAGAGCACAATCTTCTACAGATTGGCTGTTGAGAAAGAGAGAAAATTAACAAATTTGTTTGCCAGGGTTCAAGACAATACATGGATATGAATTTCAGCTCCCCGAATTCCAAAGCCAACACAACTATTATTGAGGATTTTTTAAAAAAGTCCAATAGTATCTTCCAAGAGCCTGTTTGGGGTAGTGATTAAAGATTCATGCTAGAATCTAGGAGAATGAGTGAGGTTTTTTTATCCAATGCACCATGTCTTGGTGGGATTCATATTTACTTTTTCCTGTAAAATACTTTTCATATAATTTTTCATATAAAAGTTAAAATATTGTCACCCTTCTTTTAAAAAAATGCTTATAGACGGGACCTGTGTTGGTGGAGGATTTTTTGAAAGCTGCTGTACAGGGCAGGATACAAGTAGTGGAGAAGTTCCTGGCAGATGGAGGCTCCCCAAACGTCTGCGATGAAGTAAGATCACCGAAGTATATTTTCCTCAGGACTATTTTTCACTTTCCATAAAGATATATATTCAAATATTTGTTGATTGAGCAGGATAATGTTAAGTATAGTAATGTTAAGTATAAAAATGTTAAGCCCAATGCTTGGCATAGGGCAGTGATGGCGAACATTTTCAGCACTGAGTGCCAAAAAGGGAGTGTGCGCACACAGACCCTCGTCTGGGACACAACCCGGAAAAGGAGCTGCCTAGGGGGCATGCTTGTGCTGGAAAATGTACTTCTGGTTTCTGGGGCCTGCATGCACACCAGCCAGCTAGTCTTCCGGTTACTGGAACACATGCGCGCACGACGATCAGCTGCCCAGCACGTATGCTCACACTGGAAAATGGAAGACAAGCTCTTCCAGTTTCCGGCACTGCCGCATGCCCGAAGGACAGCTGATTGTCACACGTGCATGCGTGACAAAAACCCGGAAGAGGAACGGGCAATGCCACACGTGCCAGGCGACATGGCTCGGCGTGCCACTTTGGGCAGATGCCCAGAGGTTCGCCATCATGGGCATCATGAGGTGTTCTTTGCTGCTTCTGTTACTGCAAGTAGAATCCAATATGTAAACTTCTCATCAAGGGGATATTTTTTGAACACAATTGCTACAATAAATTGATACAAATGGGAGAAAAGGCTCTTGTTCACCAATAAAAGTAATGTTATTGGAATAAGCTGCCCCAAATTTGTTATTTTCTTTCTTTTGAAAAAAGCATATTCAAAAATATCCATAAAGGAGAGGAGCGGAGCAGATGAGTACCAGCTTATAGATTGCTCCTGGATTTAAAATCTTTGATTTCAAGTACAGGTAGTTCTTGACATACAACCACAATTGAACCCAAAATGTATGCTCCTAAACAAGACAGTTGTTAAGTGATTGTTATCCCATTTTGTCAAGTTTGTAACATAGTGAATCTAGCTTCTCCATTAAGTGAATCTAGTTCCCCCATTGACTTTGCTTGTCAGAAAGTTGCCAAACTATAGAACCCTGCAACTATCATAAGTATGAATCAGTTGCCAAGTGTCTAAATTTTGATTATCCGGCCATGGGGATTCTGCAATGGTCATCATAAGTGTGAAAAATAATCATGTCACTTTTCTCAGCCATTGTAATTTCAAATGGTCACTAAATGAACTATTATACGGTGAGGACTATCTGTATGCTTGCTCATGTCCACCTCAAGTATAAAAATGTTTTGAAAATTGAAGTGGAAAATAGAAATAGACCACTGCTGGTGTTACCTAGTTTGGGTAAGGAAATGTCCGCAAGAAAACAAGCAAGCTCAAAGAGCACCAAGGACTCCTCATTTCAACCTTGAGCTACAAACATTCTCCTTTAATTACATCATTCCAATAGCACATCTGCTCTTTTCAATATATTCTTACAAAAATGGGGGGGGGGGGTTAAATGTGGTTCTAAACAGCATATGGAGGAGTCACGTATATTGATTTGTTATGAGCAACTATGGGAAATCTGGTGTTGGCAAGGATTTTTAAAAAGGAAAGGACCCATGAATGTTAGAAAATAACCTTTGGACATGGCCTTTTCTCTTTTTAGCCTACCATTTACAGAAGACTAATTCTGTCCCTCATTTAGTTCCACAGGACGGCTTTGCACCGTGCCTCCCTGGAAGGATACACAGAAATTGTAGAGAAGCTTTTGGACCAAGGTGCCACTATTGACTTCAGAGATCGCGTAAGATACTTCGTGTCTACTGAGATTGCCACCCTTTTTCTGCATGGGTTATTTATTTATTTATTGCCACCAAATTCCTCTAAAGCACAGTGGAAATATTCAGTATATGGAACATTCTGGGTACAATATTGTGCTCAGATCTATTTATTTGTTTGTCTTGGGCTGAGAGTTATAATTATTTGGAATCGAAAAGGAAACCCCAAAGAATAGCCTTGGAAGGAGACTGGAACAGTTGTCTCCTGACAAGTCATGGTTTTTGTTCACAGTTGGATTGCACAGCTATGCACTGGGCCTGTCGTGGTGGACACCTGGCTGTTGTGAAGCTCTTGCAGGAAAAAGGGGCTAATCTAAAGTTGAAGGACAAGGTGAGTTGAGAGCTGATTCAAGGAAAGAGATCAGTGTCGCACAGGAAATTTGAAAAAAGCTTTATGGAAATAGGAAGATTCTAATGTTAAGGCAGAGTACACAACTTGCACTTATCTCAAATCTTAGATGATACAGTAGATTGTCTCCAAAACCCAACTATATTTCATGTGACAAAAGAAGAAATTTATCAAATACATGACTGCAATTAATGAAATTAAATTAGTTATGTCTAGAATGCCCATTTTCCAAGTACATTAATCCAATCCAAGTACATTAGTCACAAGTGAAGATACAAACCTTCATCTTCCTACTTTCAACATTTGGGAATATAACTGGGCTTTCTAGAAGAACTGAAAAACAAGGTTTTCTGAATCTACTGTTAGTATTTTATTTGGACTGCACTTAACATCTAAACCTCTAGTATTATAGTTGGTTATACAGTCAGCTAGATGTTAATACTGGATTTGCCATTTTTATCTACCTATTGAGTCCTTCCCAAGGACCTGGGATAGACAGCAGAGGTGGGTTGCTCTCAGTTTGGCCCGGATCAGGCGAACTGATAGGGGCGGCAGCGGGAGGCTCTGCCCACCTGCCAGGATGCTTCTGCACACACACAGAAGCATCGTGTGTGCACATACGTGCATGCAAGCAAACCAGTAGTAAAAAAAAATAGAAACCCATCACTGCTAGATATTATCTGATGGCCTGAAAAGAACTGTTGTTAATGCCAATGATGTCAAGTGGTATCCAGATGTTTTGGGATTGCACCAAAGGTGCCTATTGCTATTGATACTACTATTTTTGCTTTCTTTTGTGGCAGTTAGTCTACTTTTATTTGCAGGTCCTTGTATTTTGTGATTTTCTCCAGATCTTTCTCTTCTAATTCTGCTGTCTGCAGGTTCTGCCATTTCCACTATACAGATTTTTTTTGTCTTCCTTATTAACAATGGTTAAGTCTGGCGTGTTATGTGGCAGGTGCTTGGCTTTTTGAATTCTAAAGTCCCAGAGCACTTTATTATTATTAGCTCTCTACACTGTCTTTTTAAAATATAGAAATAACTCAAAGTGGTGAACCTAGCTAATACTCCTTCCTTACACCCCCCCCCCCATAGCAACCTTTTGAGATGAGTTGGGCTAAGAGAGCAACTGACCCAAAGTCACTCAGCTGCTTTTCATGTCTAAGAGAGGCCCAGAACTCACAATCTCCTGGTTTCTAAGCCAGCACCTGAAATATAAAGCCTGCCTTCTCTTACCCTCATTGCAGTAGGTTGGGCTGAGAGAATGACTGGCCCACCTGATTTATCCATGGCTGGGGAAAAAAGACCTGAGTCACCTTGTTTTTAGTCTCAACATTCACTATGACACCAAATAGACTCACTTAAATTAACTACCTTCATCCCTTTCCAGAAAAAGAATAGTCAACAAGGAATCATATTTATCCTTTTCTGCTTTTGTTTTTTTACATTTCTTCATTGTCTGTTTGAACTCAGCTTCTCAGTACGCCTTTACATGTGGCCACTCGCACTGGTGTAGCAGAAGTTGTGGAGCATCTGATAAACAATGGTGTGGATGTCAATTCCCGTGACCGTGTAAGAAATACCTTTTTCTAACTGCTTGTCTACTTAACATGTAACTAGCATCTTAATCCACTTTTTAAGGTAAAGGACCACAATTATATATGTGCAGAGGATTTTGTAAGAATCATACTAGCCAGATTTTTTTGTACTGGTGAAATACGTATAAACGTAATATGAAGTTCATGCAAATATTTGCATTCAAACTCAAAAATGAAACAAAATGAACAGAAAACTAAGCTTGAGAAAGATGTACTACGGTTTTAGGATTTAAACATCTTCCTTTTGAAGTTTAATTTCAAATTCTCAATCTTAATATGCTTCTTTTTTTTTCAAGGTAGTCAAGCAATTCTCTATTGTAACTGTTTCATATCACCTTAGTTATTTTCAGCCTATAAAGCACAAAATGAAATACTCTAATTCTACTTTCTGATTTCTAGTGCTAATATTTTTCACCTATAATAATGGCAAACCTGCAATCTTATCTATGGCAGACATTATTTAGCTGACAGCATTTGCCTATTTCTTGTTATAGTTGACTCAGAAAGCTATTTTCAGTTGATCCAGGCTAATATTTAATGCATTTTTTAAAAATCTGTTTATTTGCTGTTATTTCTCCTGTTTTGGTATTATAAGCAAACTTATCTTGACTACCAATCTTACATATACATCTAATTCCCACATTATTATTGTGTAGTTTGTTTATTTTTGGCAATGTAATTTATGGATTTTACTACAGTTGACTAGCCGTATCTATGAACAAGTCATTAGAGTTATTCAACAAACTGGTTAAAAATATTAGCATTATATGTGAACTTAGGCAGTGTGGTATTATCATCTCTCTACTGCAGGAGGGAGACAGTGCCCTGCACGATGCTGTTCGCCTCAATCGCTACAAGATAATTAAGATGTTGATTTTGCATGGGGGAGATATGTTGGCCAAAAATTTGGTAAGTTTTTACTCACTGTGGCCTATATAGTGGGTAACATCTGCAAAAAATTCAATAGTAACAAAAATAATAGCAAAAGAAATGTGCTTTCTTTTTCAGATGCTGTCCACTAGTATTTAATAAATCAGTAAACGCATATCCATGCTTTCATGTCAGTTTGGGGTTTACCAAACCTCCTTATCTTTGTTTCTCCTACACAGGCTGGCAAAACTCCTGCAGATCTGGTGCAGTTATGGCAGGCAGATACACGGGAAGTGCTGGAAAAGAAAAAGCCAAACACAACAGAAATGCCAACATGAGCTGTAGTTGGATGAACAAATCGGACACCTGCAATTTGAAGCAAGAATGGTTTGAGATTTAAACAAAAATGGTCACAAAACCCCAATAAAGATGCTATCAAAGCAAAACAAAGCCAAAAAACAGTGAAAAAACAGCTATTTCGAATGTTTTGTTTAGTCAACCATAATGCTATTTTATTGTTGGCAGTTGCATGATGAGATTAAATTTAATAGCTGAGAACTTTCCATTTTTCTCAAACAGGCATTGTGAAATTTCTGCTTGTCATACAGTTGTTAAAGGTCTGATAAACAACCGCAATTCTGATATCCACTGAGTCAAATTGCACTAAGCTATTATTGATAATCCCCACAAGTTTCAAACAGCTGCATGATAAGTAATCAGATATGACACAGTTTCAAATGTGATAGCTGTGGGACTGCTTGCAGGTGCAGATAACTAAGGACATGAACATCTTCAGGGTGCTAGTTATTAGTTATAAAACCCTACATGGTATTGGACCTGGGTACTTGAGAGACCGCCTTCTGCCGATTACCTCCC